AAAAAAAAAAAAATATTTGTCTTTTCAATAAATGTTTTGTATGTATGTAAAATTATTTAAAAAATAAAATACTGAGGCAGCAGTACCTAGTGAGGACTCTGAAGTTTGAGTTAGACTACCTGGGGTCTAATTACATGTTTCACAGCTTCCATCACTGGGGCCCAATGGTTCATGGTGTCCCTTCACACAGCAAACCAGCGGGACACCCCCCTTCTCCTGGTTTCATGTATCCCTGTTCTATGACCCCCACCTACTCCCCGCCCCGCTCTTCGCAAACCATTATATATTTCTTAATTTTAACAGTTGTCTCCCATTGCATGTGCCTGGAAAAGCAAAGGCAAAAACCCCTCTTATTATCGCGCGAGCCCCACCCACTGACAAAACTTCCGGCTCCCGCCCTCGCCGCCGTCCCACTTCCGCTGACGCCAGAGGTCAGAGGTGACGGGCAAGATGTCGGCTGTCTGTGGCTTTGAGCGGTTGTTGAGAGGAGCATCTTCGTAACAAGCTCGCCGGAGACGGCTAAAAGGAGCCGAGTCGCGGGAGCAAGTTTGAGGCGGCGGCGGGGTGTGGGCGCCGAGGGAGCCCTGGCCGCGGGGCATGACTGTCGGGAGCGTTGGGGAGCGGGGAGTGGGAGGTGCCGGAGGCTGGTGATACCCCGCAGCCCCCCGGGAAACGGGGAAGCCAAGCTCGGTGGGAGCGCTTCATGCCGCCAACTGGTTTAGAGCCCGCCAGAATGAACAGGAAGAAAGGAGACAAGGGCTTTGAAAGCCCAAGGCCATATAAATTATAAGTATTTTTTTTTATTCCTTTCCTAGCTTTTGTTTTTATTAATTATATTTTGTGATTGCTTGAAGCTGCCTTGGTGAGCCTGGGAAATGTAGTGGAAAACTAGAGCCCACTCACCGTGATGGAAATGCTGTTTGTAGGACAGTATGTAAGGTTTTGAATGGCGGTATTGTTCAACAGATTTAATGTCCCTTGCAGGTGAATAAGTGTTTTTCTGAAAGTACCTAGCCGTATTTTTATACAAAGAAGTCTATTTTCGTGGCTATTACTAAATTTAAAACATGCAGTTACCTTAATTAGTAGGATTGTAAAATAAAAGATAAAGTATGATTGTGAGCTGCTTAGAACTTATTTACACTTCGGTAGAATTATGCTTTTATTTAATAATAGGAGTATCTTCTTTTTCTTTTTTAATATACAACCCATCAGGTTGTCTGCATCAACAACATAAACTTCCAGAGAAAATCTGTGGTGGTAAGTGTATTCTCAACAATTGTAAGCAGTAACAAGTTCAAACACCCTTTACAATATTTACAAACTTTCCCTTCCAAATGACTATGTTCCAAGAATAGGTAAGATTTAGAATTCAGATCTGTGTGACTCCCAAGGTGCATAGCCTTGCTGCTATACTGACTGCCTCAAGTCTCCCTTCTCTCTTTTTTTGTTTCTGGATAAACATCCTGTTTAATCTGTTGTGGAATATGAAAGTCTGTATTACCAAGCATTTTAGAATTGTGCATGAAACAAGAATAAGCCCATAGTGAAATTTCTTCTGTGAAAAAAGTTAAGGTTAGCACTCTCACTGACTCAACTTGACTGCTAAGAGGCCAGTTTTGTTTTCTGATTCTTGGCTGACCTGATTTAGGAGCATTGCTTTGTAAAGGTTTAGGTAAGGTGTTTGAAATCTTGTAAACACCACCCCTTTCCTTTGATGTGTATAGATTGCATGTATAATCCATTCTGGGGCAGTCCTTGGCTGCCTAAGTACTTAATTTGGGGAACCTGTATTAAAGAGACAAAATCTTAGTGAGCTATCTTTGTTTTTTTTTGCCGGGGGTGGGGGGGGGATAGTGGTGACTTGAACTTCCCTCTGGAACTGTTACCCCTGTATGTGTATGTTTACTCAAGATGAGCTGTACAGTTAAATAAAAAAGTAACCTATTATAGGAATCTTAGAATCCTTAAAGGTTCACTAAGTCCTATCTCCTTATTTAAGGAATTTCTCTATCAATATTCCCTGCCTATGATTACGGCTGACCCTTGAACAATGTAGGGGTTAGGGGCCCTGACTCCCTGCACAGTCAGAAATATGGGTATAACTTTTGACTTGCCAAAAACTTAATTGCTCAGAGCCCACTGTTGACCAGAAGTGTTACCAGTAACATGAACAGTCGATTAATGCATATTTTGTGTGTTTATTATATACTGTATTCTTGTAATAAAGTAAGGTAGGGAAAGAACGTGTTATTAAGAAAATCATAAGAAAAAGTACATTTACATTACTGCCCTGTATTAGGAAAAAATCCACATATAAGTGGGCCTGTGCAGTTCAAACCTGCGTTGTTCAAGGGTCAACTGTATTTACCTTGTCCTTCATGGAAGGATACTTTAGGTGTTGTGTTGTAGTAATTAGGTAGGGAAGATATGAGAATTAGGGAATTTAGTTAAGAAGTTACTGTAATAATCTTGTGGAGAAATGATGAAGCCCTGAAAGAAAATAACAATAATGAAAGTGGTATAGAAATAGAGTTGATGTGATTGAATTATAGTGAATGTTTGTTGAGTACATTCTATGTATGAGACTTTTCTAAGGTTTTATGTGTGTGACCTCACTTAATCACAAAAACCCCATGAAGTAGACGCTATTTTAATCCTAATTTTTAAAATTAAAGCAGCTGAAAGACTGGAGACTAACTTTCTTCAGGGCATAAAGTTAGAAAGTGATGGAGCCATTTTTTAATCAAGGATGACCTAAGAGTCACCTGCAGCTCCTTTCTGTCTGTTGTTCCCCCTCTCCACCTCCTCTGCACCTGCCGAAATAATAGATGGGAAGGAATTGAGATGACTCTTACTAAGAATGTTAGGAAGGAGTTGTGAATGATTTGGGGGTTTCCCACTGGAAAAATTGGTTGGATGGTGAATGGATTAGGGTCCTAGAAGGAAATAAGCTGCATATTCATACAGGTTAATTGAGGGAAAGTTGTAAAAGGACTATTTAGAACAAACAGGATTAAGAGAAACCAAGAGATGGTGTGGCACGCTAGGTTGGCAACAAGGAACAGTTAACATTTCTAAACCTGAAAGAATAAAGGAAGTGGTTACTAGGGTATAATAGACTATAGTAGCTGTGGGAAAGAGTCACCTTATAGAAGGTGTGGCCTTTGGTGGAAGAATGAAGCTACTGCCTCCCTCAGCTGGGCAGCAAGGAACCTGGAAGGATAGATATAACACGCCCACTTTTCCTTCTGTTCTTCCAGTTTTCTCCTCATGCTTCCCATTTGACCAGCCCAGCCGGAAGCTACAGGGCTAGTGGCCAGTTAATATAACTCCTGGGGTTTAGAATGGAGAGTGGATTAGGAGGGGCAAAAGGAGAATATCTAGAATAGTCTACCCATTTGCCCCCATACCATTCTTTCTTGTTTTTTGTTGAGATGAGAAGCTACACAGGGAACTGAATGAAGTCTTATCCTCTGTTGCAGAGGTTGGCAAGGCTGACTACCTGTTTTTGTAACAAGTTTTATTGCAGTACAGCCACACCCACTTATTTATATATTGTCTAAAATGTTTTGGAGCTACGCTGGCAGAGTTGAGGTACCTGTGACAGAGGCTGTGAGGCCCACAAAGCCTATTTACTGCCTGACCCTTTAGGAAGCTTGCCAGTCCCTCACCTCATGAGCTCATGTGAGGATATGGCAGCTCAGCTCTACTCCCACCTAAAGTATTAGCTACCACCACTATCTTTCATCCAAAATAGTGGCAAGAAAAGTGGGTAAGAGAATGTGAAACTTAATTGCTACAGCCCTTGCTTTCTTTAGCTGGTGTCAAGGCCAGAGTTGATAAACACAGCTTCCTTCTTCTTCCGCCCATTCCATTTTTCCTTTATCTTCTGCTGACGTTTCTGTTGGGTCTGAGCTAGACTTTCATTCCTGTAGGATCTGCATCCTTTCTTGTCCTTTATCGTGTTGTTGCACTTTTCCATTGATTAGGACTATTGGTCAAGTGAACCCTAAGAGGCATCCTGTGAATCCCCCTGGACTGCGGATATAATTGTCCGTACTGTATAGCAGAACCTGAGTTTCTGTTTGATAATTGGGATTAGCCATTCCAGTCAGTATAGTGACCTCTTTCTCTGCCTGATGGTTTAGTGGCATGAGCAACCCAAAGTGGTCAAGGGACAGTCTCAGCTTCCAGTGTAATGGAACCATGACTGTGTGCCCTGGTGGATGCATTTTTCTACTGGCCAAACATACCAAGGTTAAAAAGACAGCAAAAATTCCTTCAGTGTGTTTTTTGACGTAATAGAACAGTCACTCCAACTTTTACCTTTTGGTTTGCAGATCTGTTTTGGCTATGGAAAGATGACCCTATATATTGTCCACTAGTTAAAATAGCATCCTCTTAGAGGTCTCTCAATTGATGCAGTAACTGAGCCTTCAGCAGTTGATCATGCCAGCGCTTTTGGATGTTGGGCACAAGATAAAACCAGTAAATTTTGTGTGTAAGAGCCTATCACTACACTTCGCTGTACACTTATTTAGAGGCATGTATGAGATACTACAATGATATATAAGGTTTTCTATAAATATGTTGTGGTTTGGGAGGGAAAAGCTAGAATATGTCTGCTCTTGTAAGGACAGATATGTTCTTGATGTGAGCTGTCTCGTGCTCATTCTCCTACCAAGTGACTGACTGGTCCTTCTAGTACCATATTGGATGCTTAGTATGATCCTGTGCTATTGGTAGTGGGCACTCAGCAGTGGTGGTAGCCAGATCATCCTTGGTGCTCTGGGGGTGGGGGGAAGACCATGTTGTTGGGCTCATGCATAGCCTCTATTCTGCCACTATGACTACTTTGTTCATTGGGTAGGGTGACTAGGGAAAGAGTCTGCAATGTCTACTTCATCTTGTCAGTTGGTTTTGGGGGGTCCTTTCTGCTGTGGATGCCCTCTGATGTTCATTTATGTGATAACGACATGGATATTTTCACATTGTACCTGTTCTGAGAAATCCATCCATACACTTCTACCATTTTCCTGTTTTCAGTCTTTTAAGTTTGTTCTTACCAAGGTCCTAACCAACCCATTAGCAATTGCCCATGGATCAGTGTAGTTGTATACTTGAGGACATCTCTACTTCTACAAAGAGTGTATAGCCAGATTATTTCCCAACATTCTGCCAGCTGTAGAACTTTCTTCCACTCTCTTCCAGGGCCACACTTCAGTGGCATTCTAATGGCAGTTCTTATCCACTTCTAGCTGGTGATAGCATCCTGTGTGCTTACTCCTAATTCGGGCTTGTGCTTTGTTCTGTTAGCTGAGCATAGGGAACTCTCCATGAGACCATAGGTATAGATTGAGGGAGAGGTAGAGAAGCAGTGCGAGGATGTCTTACTGGATTCTGAGCACCTGCTCATGCTGTTGCCTATACTTTATGAACCTGCTTGGGCCTGGCTCAGATGTGTTGTCTCCATTTAAAAGTGGAGAACTGCTGCATGTGCCCAGTTTTATTTTTCAGAGCTTTATATCCATAACATCATGGTCATTTCAGGTAACAGTCTTTGGGAGTCCCATGGTCATGTATTGAGTTTCTACTGAAGGGTCTAGTAGCAAACCAGTAGTTGCTTTGCAAATGGAATATAGTTGGTGATAGAAGAGTTTGTGGCCTTCCTCTCAAACCTCAGGAATTTGCACTGTCATTCTACTGGGAAAAGCCAGATTCTGTAGAGCACCTCTGTCTGCCATGGACATTTCCAATGCCATTGGATCTGCTGAGTCAGAAGGCCCAAGTGTCAGGGCAGCTTGAACCACAGCCTGAACCTGTTGCAGAACTTTTTCTTGGTCTGGACCCCTCTCAAAGCTGATAACTTAATAGGTTGCCTAGTAAGCAGTATGCCCAGATGTGTATATTGCCTCCAGAATTCAAAGAAGCCCACCAAGTTTTGTGTCCCTTCCTCCTTCCCCTCCCCACTTTGGTGGGAAGTACAAAATGAAGCAACTTATCTTTCATTTGAAAGGAGTATTTTCATATGCCTCAGAATACTGGAACCTTAGAAGCTTTTTTAATGTGATAGGCCCCTGAACTTTGATGCAATTTAACCTGCATCCTCTGCCATCCATATGTTTTTTATTAAAGCATTTGGAGAACTTGCTCTTCCCTTCTCACCAGGTCCAGTTAGCATAATGCTGTCAATATAATATACTAGTGTAATTCTTTATGGGCTATCTTGGAATCAAGAGACTTTTGGACTATGTTTTGATTGAGCAGGAGAATTGGTATAGCATTTAGTTATTAGGTGACAGTGAAGGGGTTCTGCTGTTTGAAGGAAACGTGTCTGATAATTTTTTTTTTTTTTCTGTTAAGAATTGGGGAAAAGTGCTTGATAATTAGTTTCAATACTAGTTACCAAGAGCTATGATGATTTGCTGCAATAAAAATACTACATCTGAAACTGTGGTTGTGATTGGCAGGTTTGTGATAATTCACCATCATGCTCTAAAACCTACTCGACTTTTGTATTGGCCAAATAATTGAGTTAAATGAAGATGTAGTAGACATCTTTCAAATATTTGATGGTGTGAATCTCTGCAGTTCCCCAAGGGATGTTTACTTGCTTTGATCTACTCTCTTAGCCCTTCTATAATATTCCTCACTGCGCTGGTTAGAGAACAAGTATGGGGATTTGTCAATTACTGAAATACATACTATGTGTTGTGGGACTGGGGAAATAAGCATGAGTCCTACTCTGAAATAGCCTTGGCCTGTTACCCCTTTTAGTACTTGACCTCCAAAGACTTCCAGTATGACTAGTAGACTGGTAAGGTTTTGGGACTCCAGGAATTATCATTTCAGAATCTAGATATGATACCTCCAGGAAGAGGGCAAAAATTAGTTCATTTGAGTGTGACATAGATCTCAAGATTTTAAGGAACGATATGTGAGACTTGTACATGTTTGTAGGCACAGGAGAAAATCCTGTAGGGAGGAGGCATTGTAATTATAGGAGAGGGTAGTTAATAGAGTGGAATTTTTGAGGCTACTATAGAGTATGGCCTCCAGTAGAAGTGGAAGAATCACTCTTAAACACTAGGGAAAGATAGCTACATGCAGCAGGAGGGCAAGAGAATTGGTAGTTGGCAGAAGAGTGGTTGAAATTAAGGACCTTGAGTAAATGGAGAAGAAGGATTGTATAAGAAACTGAAGGAGGTCAAGGAATAGGAGGACTTCATGTAGTTGACCAGGAAGACTGGGGGAGAAATAACAAGAGAGGCAGAAGGATAAGCATCATGGGCACTCAAGTTTAAAGTGTCAGCATGGGAGTAATTATGAGCAGTGAAGATGCATCTTTTGGAGTGTGGTCTTGATTGCTGTCCTGTAATAGAAGTGAGGATTGTAGGAATTAAGGTCAAGGAACTTTGAAGCAGTGTTACTGCATGGGTCAGATAGATCTACATTCACATCACTTAGAGTGATGATAGAGATTAGAAATGGAGAGTAGGAGCCTACGATGAATGTTGAGGAATTTGGGAGATAAGAATGAAGAGGAATAGAGGGTGGTGGACCTGTATGGCATAAACATGTGGGAAAAGAAGTAGAAAAGAATAATAAAAACATGTCTTAGGCATTTATTAGATGTCCACTATGATTTTAAGTGCTTTAACTGAGCAATGTATTAAATTGCTCAGTTGTCAGACCACCAAAAGGTAGGTAGTGTCATTATTCCTGTTTTACAGATGAGGAAAAGACAGCTAGAGTAACTAACTCAGTAAGTGGTAGAGCTTGGATTTGAATGCAGGCAGTTTACCTCCAGAAAACATACATTTAACGATGACATTATACTGCCCTTGCTCTTATAGCATATGCTGTATAAAATCCTACGAGTGGTCTAGAGTAGCATTTGAAACTAGGAGGTCTCCTGTTTTCCCCACCCATAATTTATAGTGAATGAAAGAATAAGTAACTTCTTGTCAAAGGGATTTCAAGAGACATTTTATCTAAAGCTAGAAGGTATAGAAGGAGTTTTTGAAAAAGTTGAATGGCACAAGAGAGATTATTTAGAACAGGATAGGAAGATGGTCAGCTGTGAAGTGTGGGGGAACAGGGAGCAAGAAGGAGAAGAGACTAAGTGAGAGCTTAGGTGACCAGGGGGGCTTGCAATAATGCCAGTGGTCAAAGATGACAGGGATTGGAGGCTTGTGGAAGTTAATGGATCCGAACGTTGCAGGCAAATACAGGTTAGGGCTCTAGGTGGTGTCAGAGACCTGATGATACAAGGAGACTGGGCTTTCTCTGTCTTCATGAAATACATTCCATTCACTGTTCTCTCATTTTTAACCTTAGTCTAGAAAGCCAAATCCTGTTCTTATGTCCCAGCCATGTAGCTAACTGTTGACTTAAAGCACTTTCCATAATCTTTTCTATTATAGTTCACTTTTGCTGTTGTCTTGATTCTGCTTGCTGTCTTTGAGCTGATCCAAGCTTGTTTATATAGATTGGTCATTGGATTGCTGGTAGGCTAATTAAGAGAATTTTGGTCTTTTCCCCGCCAATTGCTAATAGTTTACACCTTACACCTTTAAACACAGCTTTCATCTACAGTATTTTGGCTTCTGCTCTTTCTGTTCTCATTTGCTACCACATAGATCTGTGAAAATAGTATAATTTAAGGATGTATGGCTCTCTTCATATTGGGAATTAGAGGGAACGGGGCTGCAGAATCTCTAGACTTTTGAGCAGTTGTGCTGAATGTTATAAAAAATTTCTTGTGTATTATTTAAAACCTTGTACGAGAAACAGCATAGTAGGACTCCATTGGAATCATTTAGATGTGGGTTTGAATGTCAGTACTCCACTTACTAATTATATGGTTTTCTTAACTTTGTTAACTTATCTGTGAAAAGTATAAAGTAGTATTTTTATCAGTTGTTAGTGGGATTAGGGAGAATATAGGAAGTATCTAGTGTAATAGCTGGCATATAGTAGTGCTTACTAAATAGTAGCCATTATAATTGTTATATTTTAGCCCTCTATGTTGCTGCCTCATTTCATCTTAGCTGTTCCTGTTGCAGCTTCTGAAATTTTCCTCTTCACTCTGCAGCCCCTGAAATGCTACTGTTTCATGTCCTCCCATATTTCACGTTTTGAGTACATCAGTTTTTTTACCCACGATAGTAAAGTCACTGGACATAGATGCCATGTTCCAATGGCCCATCTTTCTCATTTGATTCCTATTTTGGAGGGCCATATTCTTTCACTCACCAACCTGGTTTTGATTCTCTTTCTGCTCTGTCATTTTTTTTTTTTTTTTCTTTCTTCCCTGTTTGAGTTCCAGTCTGTCTGGAAATTCTTGAATTTGAGAGTAGTGAGTTCTTTTACTTTTCTTCTAGAAGAAGGTCTAATTTTCACGGATAGTGTGATAGTGAACATGAATCACCAAGAAGATAAAGTATTTATAATTCACACCTGTTTATTCTTTAGAACACTAATGTTTGAAATGAAGATACTTGGAGAGCTTTTGTATGTATGTAGCTATTTGAGATTCTGTCTCTGAAGTGTAGTGTAAATAGTAGAAATAAAAGTACAAGTAAGTGTAAGTAGTAGAAATAAAAAGAAATATATTCTAAAACCTATCAATCTTAATTATAATGAAGTTATTCTTTATATTATTTATATTATTCTTTATTTTTTGCAGGGATTCGTGGAACTGACTATATTTCCTACAGTTGCAAACTTGAATAGAATCAAGTTGAACAGCAAACAGTGTAGAATATACCGAGTAAGGATAAATGATTTAGAAGCTGCTTTTATTTATAATGACCCAACCTTGGAAGTCTGTCACAATGAATCAAAACAGTAAGTTTTGTACTTTAAAAGTTGATATTTCTTAACAGCTATATTTTCCCCATATTATTGGATTAATTTTTTCAACAGATTTTTCTTAGATTATTATTAGACTCTGAATCCCAATTTTTTTTTTTCCCAAAGATTTTATTTATTTATTTGACAGAGAGAGAAACAGTGAGAGAGGGAACACAAGCAGGGGGAGTGGGAGAGGGAGAAGCAGGCTTCCCGCAGAGCGGGGATCTTGATGCGGGGCTCGATCCCAGGACCCTGGGATCATGACCTGAGCTGAAGGCAGACGCTTAATGACTGAGCCACCCAGGCGCCCCTCTGAATCCCAATTTTTTCCTAATTATAATTTCTCTTTTACCACTCTGCACATTTGGTTCAAGAAATTTTACTGGCTCTGCCCAACATAGTAAGTTACTCAGTTTCCTTTCTTCAAACTAGCTTTAAAGAAGTATTATCTGAGAATTCTAAATAAATTTTAACCAATTTCCTACTTTTAATGTTTTTTAAAAAATACTTCGTAAATATTAAATGTAATCTTAGTAGATTAGGTGGTTGCTGTAATCCTTAGACCAGAGACTACTTTACTTTAGACTGTTTTAGAGTATCTCATAAAAATATTGTGTTTTAAATACCTCTTTCCTTCACTTTAAATAAATACTGCATCTACTGAGGTTACTTCTGTTTTTATCAGTTAAACATGTTGTGATCAGTTTTGTGTTTTACTTTTTTCATTTAAGTACTTTGTCTCCACTTTTCCACATATGATACGCTTCACTTTGTTATTTTTATGGTCAGGTAATATTCCATTTACTCAGTATTCTATAGTTTGCATGTCGTTTTCCAGTTGTTTGGCATTTGTATAATTTCCAGCTTTTGAGATCATAAGTAATGTTGAGTGAATATTTTGGCACAGATCAGTTTATTTTCCTTTGAATTATTTCCTTAGGCAAATAGGATTACTTACTGTTTTTAAGGCACTTAGTACTTTACTTCATTGTGCCCAGTAACATTTGTGTTAAGTATGGTCAACTACATTTGAGGGCGCTTGTTTTTTCAAAGTTTAAATAGCATTGAATTGTATCATGATTCTCTGTTTTGGGGTAGGGTGTCAAAATTTCATTATAACTCTTTTTTAGTCAAGATGGTATTTTAACTCCTCTTGATGTATAACATTGCCTTAAGGCTACAATTCTTAAAGTGTGATTTCCAGACAAGCAGCATTAGCATCACCTGGAAACTTGTTAGAAAAAAATAAGATAATAACAGAGAGGAAGGCAAACCATCAAAGACTCTTAACAATAGGGAACAAACTGAGGGTTGCTGGAGGGGAGGTGGTGGGGGGATGGGGTAAGTGGGTGATGGGTATTAAAGAGGGCACTTGATGTAGTGAGCACTGGGTGTCATATGCAACTGATGAATCACTAAATTCTACTCCTGAAACTAATACTATACTATATGTTAACTAACTAGAATTTAAATAAAATCCTTGAAAGAAAAAAAGAAATGCAGATTACCATGAATTGGCTTAGGTCTCCTGAATCAGAAACTGGGGATATAGTCCTGCAGTTTGTGTTTTAACTAGTGTGCCAGGTGATTTTGACCGAGGCTAATGCCTAAGAACCAGTGTCTTAAGAGATTAGAAGGGTTGAGAAAGGAGGCTTCTCTTTAGACATATTTTTGGTTCCAATTATCATTGGTTCAGAATCTTTCCAACTCAGGGAAGAGGAAAGGAAATGCTGTTGGAAGAATTCAGGGAATCTCTGAATTGCTTCTGTAACTTCCCATTTCACAAAGATGAGTAGTTGTTGAAATTACATTGCTTTTTCAGCCATGCTTGTAGAACTCATATAAAAACACTTATTACAAAATCATTTGCATCCTCTTTCCCCCAGAAAAAAAAAAAAAAGACCTGCCTTTGGAGAAGTAAATATACCCCACTAATGAAAGGAAAAGGCACCTGTAAAAGAGCAGGTAGAGAAGCCATTGCCTTCCTAGAGTCCAGAATAGCTACCCAGTTGACACTAGAACTCTGCATTTGATGACAGGGTAAGAAGCCTCTCCATCTGCCAATTGTTCACACATCTGCTTTACCTGTTGTTGCTGCTCAGGTCTCAGAGAATATAATCAGTGACAGCAATGACAGGAACAGTGGACTCCACAGCTGCTGAGGAAGCAAGCCTTACTTTTGCCATGTTTGTTTCGCGGTGATCCTAGCCCCTAAAATTTTTCTCTAGTAATAGGGAAGATGCTTCATCACTTATAGCATTATAAAGAAAGAAAAGGAAGTTATAAAGGGGAATCCTTTCAAAGGTTAGTTTAGGAAATTAGGAAAGATAGAATATACTTTAATCTTTTCAGTCAGAACCGGAGCTCTGTTAGCCATGGTCACTTAGCAAATACTTGCTCACTACCCCTGCTTTTCTGCCAAGCACTAGAATCTTGATTACTTTTTAAGAGACAAGACATTACTTATTTTTTGCTGGTTTTTATTATCTGATTTCTTTAAAAAGGGATTTGAGATTGATTTTAGAATTTTATTAGACAACAGTTTTAAAAAGTAGCTAATGAGGGACGCCTGGGTGGCTCAGTCGGTTAAGCGTCTGCCTTCAGCTCAGGTCATGATCCCAGGGTCCTGGGATCGAGTCC